AATCCCACTTGTCATTGTTGCTGTTGTTTAGCCATGAAGTCATGTCTGACTCTTGCGACCCCTTGAACTGTAGCCTGCCAGGCACCTCTGGGATTTCCAAGGGACTTCCCAGACAAGAATACTGGAGTGGATTGTCATTTCCTACTCCAGGGGATTTTCACAACCCAGGGATCAAACCCGCATTGGCCACCTGGGAAACCCGTCAGCTCCCAGTAGGAATGGCTGCTTCTGGAGCATGGGATTAGGCCAGCTGCTCCTTCCTAGGGCAAGTTCAGACTCTGCCTGGCTAGACCATGTGATATGACACCACTGATAAGTGTCTGATGGTTCAGGGTAAGCAGTGCACAGAGAGAACTTTATTTCATCTGAGAACTCCACAATGAAGCAACCCTTCCTTCTATATCTGTATCCTTCTACTTAAAGATACAAATTCCCGTAGTGCTATTGAAGGAGGAAACAGAACAGGTTCTATCTTGAGAGCAGGACTCCATCTTGGGTCGGACTGTGAACTTTGAGCTATATGCCCAGTATCTATGGAAACGACCTACCAACCGGAAAACCAGGCCTCTGGAAGGAAGAGCCCCAGGGCTCTCCATTGCTAAAAGAATATCCTAATTATCTGTGTAACTCAATAGAATCATACATTCTATTATGCTCATTGGGGTATGACCACAGGACTATTGATAATTGTCCACTGTTAACTACGGCTTAAGGCATATGAATCACTGGATTAACTTTGATTGTCAGGGAATTTGAGGAGGTGGGTTTGTGCACACTTAGAGTATATAAAGTTTTCCCAAAAACTGGTCGGGGTCCTTGACTAAGAGGAGACTCTGCCTTGGGCCCGCTGGTATAATAAACTGCACTCCACTATCTGCATTGTCCTTCTGAGTGAGTTTGTTTCCCGGAGCTCGTGGCTACAACATTTGGTGCATTGGCCGGGAAACTCCTCACTTTGAGGAGACAAGTCCCATTTGGGACTACTCTGAGGCCTTATGGCTTGAATCTTCAAGAGGGGGGGAAGGTGCCTCGCCCTTCTGGAAGGATTCTGCTTCTCAATGCCTGGACCTTTCACTTTAGCAGGTAATGGATAGCAGCAGGGGAACTGAGTGCTCAGGTGAGGAGGAACCCACCCGGCAGGGTGGAAGAGGGGGCCTGATCCCCCCCACCCCCGGGGAGGGACTAGAAGGGGCATGGACCCACAGGAGCCTGGAATAGGCAGATGGCAGCGATTGCATGGTACACAGGTCGAAAAGTGTGTTAGGGCTTAGGAAGGAAATTTGTGAAGGTCATTTAGGAGGTGTGTCCACGCTGTCTTGGGGAAAATTATTACTGAGCAATCACCAGGGGATTTTTAGAAGAAACTTGGTCCTTGTATGCTTGTATTCTACCCTCCCCCAGGAGGTGTCCTGTCTGCTATGAAATTCTTGACCCCCTCGGAATTATTAGGCTAGAAGGAGGGGGATATGTAAGTGCGTATGAATTGACTTTTCTGGAGACAGCCTGGGATGTGGGATATTTAACCCATCTGTGTTTTCATCCACACCTGATCAAGTCCACCAAAGCAGAACGGACTTTAAGGAAGAATTAGTCTTGGACCACATGGTGTTCTGGTTCGGCCATACTGACTGGCAGGTGAAGAGCCGCTGATCCCCCTTCTCCCTCTGGGATCTGACAGGATTTGGACGAGGATGACCAACCCCTCCCCCACACTGGATGATGAAGTGCCCGCCACCCAGCGCTCTACCAGGACTAGAAGCTGCCATAATGCCCAGTCCAGGGCCAGGTGAAGTTCCCCAGCAGCCACTGCTCCTCCGCCAGCTCTCCTGGAGGTCGTAGAGCCGCCACCTCGGCAGGCCCCGATCCTGGGGGCAGAAGCCTCTGGCCAACACTTCCAGGATCCGGCTCCAGCCGAACTGCCCAAGCTATACCCGCCTCTCCTGGTGAATACTGACAGAAAGGGAAAAGGAGACACCAGAATCAAACAGAGGCTGCATTCTGCTAAGGAGCCCGAGGAAAGGACCCCGCTACAAATGCCCCTCAGAGAGTTACAGCAGCCTTCAGTTCAGGGGCAGACGGCGACTCCCATCAGCCCCCCGTAGCCTATTATTACCAGATTAAGCTAATGGAGACTATTTTTTGAACCCACTGCCCTACACGGGATGACATAACCCAACTTTTAGTCTCCCTCTTCAGCACTGAGGACAGACAGAGGATCCTAACTGAGGCCAGAAAATGGTTACAAGAAACGGCACCTGAGGGTATTGCAATCCTGCAGCGATAGGCAGAACTAGCCACCCCCGATGAGAGGCCCTGTTGGGACTATAACAGAGGGAGGGAGGGCCACCTGGAGAGATATTGGGCAGCTATTTTACAAGGTCTCAAGAGCGGGGCCCAAGAACCTATAAATAGGGCAAAATCCTCCGAAGTGATTCAAAGGGAAAGTGAATCACCCTCTGAGTTCTATGAAAGACTGTGTGAGGCCTGTATGCTTTATATGCCAATAGATCCAGAGGCTGCTGGGTCTCAGATGGTGATAAATGCAGCCTTTGTGTTTCAAGCCTACCCCGAAAATGTCAGATGGGGGGACACCAAGTGACTCATGAATTTTTATACATCTCTGAATGCCCAGTACCTTTGTTGGGAAGAGACTTGCTGTCTAAATTGGGGGCACAAGTGACCTTCCCTCCCCCACCATGAAAGACCCACTTTTTGAGTGGGCTCAACCACTTATTTACTCTTCCTCTTGGTAACCCCTCAAGATGAATGGAGGTTGCACAGTCTCCCAGAAGGGAAACCAGGTGGGCTAAACAGTCAAGGGAGAGAGAGAGAGAGAGAGAGAGAGAGAGAGAGAATTAACTCAACAATTCCCTGAGGTCGGAGCAGAAGACAACCCTCCCAGGCTTACAAAACAAGTCCCAGTGGTAATAGAACTCAAACCCGGTACAATTAGGTCAGCACCCGCCTTGGGCCTGCCAGGCTTTGCTAAGCCATTTACTCTTTACATGACTGAAAAGTTCAAGGTGGCTATGGGAGTGCTGTCCCAGACTAGGGGGACATGGGACAGACCCATGGCTTATCTCTCAAATCAGTTGGACAATGTTGCCACTGGGTGGCTGGGATGCTTACGGGCGGTTGCTGTGGTTGCCTTACTGGTCCGGGAGACAACCAAGCTGACTTTGGGCCAAGATTTGATCGTAAAAGTCCTGCATGAGGTCAACACTCTCCTGCGAGGGGACACCCATAAATGCCGTCGACATCCCAGATTACTCAATACCAGGGACTGTTATGTGAGAACCCCCATGTTACTATTGAGACTTGTCAGGCCCTGAATCCGGCCACTCACATTATGGGAGAAGGTGGGCCCTCACATTATTGCAAAGAAATATGCCAGCAGACCTGACTTGAGAGACCAGCCAATCCTGGACTCAGATTGGGTCCTGTACACCAATGGCACCAGCCTGGTGAGACAAGGACAACGACTATCGGGATATGCAGTAGTCATGGAAGAAAGCATCATTGAGGCTAGCTCTGCCATCACACTGGTCTGCTCAGTGGGTCAAACTATATGTTCTAATTTGGGCCCTCCAGCTGTCAAAAGGTAAGAAGACAAACATTTACACAGACTCCAGGTATGTTTTTGCTACTTTACATGTACATGGGGCTTTATATAAAGACAGAGGTCTTCTGACAGCCAGCAGAAAGGACATTAAAAATAAAGAAGAAATTCTGACCCTATTAGATGCTATCTGGGAACCAAAAAGGGTTGCAGTCATACACTGCTGAGGGCATCAAAAAAAGGATACCCCCCAGGCAGATAAATAGACTGGCAGATAAAACAGCTAAACAAGCAGCCGAGGGCTTGGGGGTGACAAGTGAAGCCCCTACTAAAGCTCTCATATTGGCGGAGCTGCCTGAGCTAACAGCTAACACCACAGTATCCAAAATACACTGAAGCCCCAAATCAACTAGCCAAAGTGGAAGGGGCCATAAAGACTGAAAAGGGATGGTGGGAATTGCCAAATGACAAATTATTGGTACAGGAGGAACTGGCATCCACTCTGGTAAGCCAAACACACCAAGCATTCCACCTAGGCCATGATAAACTGGAAGAGCTAATTTGAAAATATTTCTTGGTTCCCCACCTCTTTTCCCTATGCAGGACAGAACTGCACTACCTGCTCAAAGGTTAATGCTGCCTCTCGGCACTACTTGGGTGAAGGGTGATTTGTGGAACATTGTTATAGTTGCCTTGATGGTTCTGCTTTGTGGACCCTGCATTTTAAATGTATTATGAACTTTGTAATACAAAGATTGGTGTCGTTCTCCCAAATTGACGGTTGGAGAGCCAGGGTGCAATATATCCCTATGAATGATGCTAATACTATGAGTTAAGAGCATCAAGAGTGGGGAATGAAGGAGGAAACAGAACAGGTTCTATCTTGAAAGCAGGACTCCATCTTGGACTGGACTGTGGACTTTGAGCTATATGCCCAGTATCTATGGAAACGACATACCAACTGGAAAACCAGGCCCCCAGAAGGAAGAGCCCTAGGCTCTCCATCGCCTAAAAGAAAACCCTAATTATCTGTGTAATCTAATAGAATCATACATTCTATATGCTTATTGGAGTATGACCACAGGCCTATTGATAATTGTCCACTGTTAACTACCTAGGCTTAAGGCATATGAGTCACGGGTTAACTTTGATTGTCAGGGAATTTGAGGAGGTGGGTTTGTGCATGTACACTTAGGGCATATAAGGTTTTCCCAAAAACTGGTCAGGGTCCTTGGCTAAGAGGAGACTCTGCCTTGGGTCCCCTGGTGTAATAAACTGCACTCCACTATCTGCATTGTCTTTCTGAGTAAGTTTGTTTCCCAGAACGCATGACTACATTATTAAGAAACGAAAAGGGGTTAATGAGTAGTTCCCATATTCTTCTGCCATTGGTACACAGTTAGAGAAGAAAAGACAGGAAGGCATCTGATGGGGCTGTTTCTTATTCGCTGACTTCGCTGGGGCTCATTTCAGCATTGCAGATGTGCCGAAATGAAAACTCAGTGTGTTTCCTTCTTCCGCGACTTTTTGTCATTCCAACTGGTTCCCCAGGATGGTGGGAGGTGCAGACGAACCATCCAGGGTGGGCAGCCGACTCTAAGGTATTCCAAGAGCCCACTTTATTCCGATAAAAGATGAAGGGCAGACATGTCGGTTTCTTCTGGGCAGCCAGGTTGGAAAGTTTCTTCTTCTAGGAGGTAAGAGTGATGAGTTAGACAGTACAGGCTTTGGGATGGAGAAAACTCAGTGTGTGTGCTCTTGCAGCAAATCCTTCCACTCAATACTTTCAGGCAGATGGATGCTCCTGTTATATTAGCCAAAATTAAAATTTGTGGAGCATGTGGGTAAAGAATCTGCCTGCCGTGCAGGAGACACAAGAGACACAGGTTTGATCCCTGATTTGGAAAGATCCCCTGGAGAAAGGCATAGCAACCCACTCCAGATCCTTGCCTGGAGAATCCTGTGGATGGAGGACCCTGGCAAGCTAGAGTCCATGGGGTCGCAAAGAGTCAGTCACGACTGAAGTGACTGAGAACGACACAGCCCAGACAGGCATTGAGGACTTTGACTTTCCACTTGGGTGGCCGAGGGCAGAAGAAACCGGCTGAAACCCTCACCTTCAGCTGCAGGGATGGCTGGCTTTGCCCTTTCTTCGTGTCACAGCAGAGACAGAGCTCGCCTTTTGAGACAGCCAGGAGAATGGGGCTTCCTTTGTTCTCACAAGCTGACTTCACACGGGAGGCTAATACAAAGAAGGTTTCTGGAAAATGATAGAGGAATGCGTTGGTCCTTGGCATAGGGAAGAGGCCCTCTTGTCCGCTGGGGTTTTGGGAAAGATGTGAACACCTTTCCTTCATGTCTGTTAGTGGTTCAATTGTGTCCGACTCTGCAAACCCATGGATTGTAGCCTTCTAGGCTCCTCTGTCCATGGGATTCTCCAGGCAAGAATACTGGAGTGGGTTGCTGATCCTGCCTCTAGGGGATCTTCCTGAGTCAGAGATCAAACCCAGGTCTCACGCATTGCAGGCAGGTTCTCTACCATCTGAGCCGCCAGGGAAGCCCTTGGCTCTGGGTCAAAGACACCCGCCCCCCATTCACTCTGGCCAAGTTGCCCCTTCTTCCACAGCCTGGGTCCTTCTTTCAGAAGGAGAATCCTCCCAGAAAGACATCCCTCAAGTCTTGTCATCATTACAGACTTGCCATATAATTCCTAGCAATCCTAGTGGTTCCTGGACCCTTTCACCCTGCTCCTCCCGACCATCTGGAGCTGCAGGAGTGATGCAGCCTGAGCTGAGCCCCTGAGCCACAGGAAGGCGGTCCCCTGACTGCAGGAACAGAAAACACGACACCCCTGAGAGTCACCTGGGAGTATGTAGGTCTTATTCAGAACTGCTCTGAGGGTCTCAGAGTCCAGGACCAAAACTTTGTGATCCCTGTCATGGATGGTGAATTTCTCCGGGCCCTTGGCCTTCACTCTTGGACCTAGATCAAATTAACCAGATAGGAACATTTCACAATGAGCACAGAAAATTCGACCTTCCATCCCTGTATATGTGTGTGTGTGTGTGTGTGTGTGTGTGTGTTAGCTGCTCAGTTGTGTCCGACTCTTTGAAACCCCATGGACTGTAGCCCACCAGGCTCCTCTGTCCATGGAATTCTCCAAGCAAGAATACTGGAGTGGATTGCCATTCCCTTCTCCAGGGGATCCTCCCAACCCTGGGATCAAACCCAGGTCTGCTGCATTGCAGGCAGACTCTATCATCTGAGCCACCTAGCCCTTGGTCAATGGTCCTGGCCCCCCACCCTTCCTGTGAACTTGGCCATCACAGCCCCCTCTCAAGATTTCTCCCACCCCAGGCTGTCTGCCTTGCTCCAAACAAGCAATTTAGCATGTATGTAAGCACCTGGGCTCTGATTCTGACACATGGGTTCAAATCCAAGATCTGACACTTACTACTTTAGGACTTGTTTAGTCATTAAGTCATGTCTGACTCTTTGCCACCCCACGGACTGTAGCCCATCAGGCTCCACTGTCCAAGGGAATTCCCAGACAAGAACACTGGAGTGGGTTGCCATTTTCTTCACCAGGGGATATTCCCGACCCAGGGAGGGAACTCACACCTCCTGCATTGGCAGGTGGATTGTTTACCATTGAGCCACCAGGGAAGACATACTTTAGGACTTAGAAGTTACTAAATCTCTCTAAACCTCAACTTCCTTATATGTGAAATGAGGGGAAGTGGTAATAACAGCACCTACCTGGGGTCTTGAGAGAATTAAAATGCTTAATCAGATGAATAAGAGTTAGCCAGGTATCAGCTTCAGAAATCACTCAGTACTAGTGAATCATTACTCTTCTTAACCCTCTTTCCTGCATCTTCTCAGGGGCATCACACTACCAGTACTGCCTGGGCTGGGACAAACCCCTGCTGAGCCAATGCACGGACAGTGGCAGAGCAGGAGGTGAGACGTGGAGGTAGGAAGGACCCAGGAGCACAGCTTCATACAAGATTGAGCTGGCATTGCCAGGTTATATTGCCAAGCTATAGGGTTTGTGCCTGGCCTTGGAGGAACCTCCCTGAACAGTCAGGACCTGCCACAAGAATACCAGGGGACTTCCCAGGGCCTGGCTCCTAGAGACACATTTGGGCCATTCCTGCTTAGAGTGCGGCACAGGGAGTCTTCCCTACTGGGCCTCGGACAGGGCAGGTGACCCAGCCCTCCCTCGTAGGATGAAGGGCAGGAGCCCACACGTGGGCCAGTAATCATCAGGGATGGGTGTCTGTGAAATGTCCAGAATGATAACACAGTAGCCACCACACCAGGTGGCCGTGTAATATAATTATCCACCCTAGGCAATTATAATCAGTGATGAAATCTGAAGTCTTGTTCTCATCCTCTGTAATCAGCACAAGGCCCCTGACTGGTCTCAGCTTGGAATATCCTTCTGGTCTCCTTCTGCTGACCGTGAGTGGGGAAGGCTCCTGCTGGCTCTCCTGCCACCTCCTCCAGGAAGCCCTCCTAAGCCCCTCTGTGGGGCCCACTTCCTCTCGGACCACACAGCTCTTTGTACCCATCCCTGAAGCATAGGTATTGGTGTCCTTTCCCCATCTCCCTGCAGCATTGTAAGCCCCCTGGGAGCAGTTCCCCTGCTTGATGTACCCACCATCCTCAGCCCCAGCCTAGAGCCCCACAAATCATGGACATTTGATGGAAAAGATGACTGGCCCAGGCAAGACCCTAAGAGGCTCTGTAGTGGTGTAGGATCAGATGAGATTCATGCCTCTCAGCTCTGCTCAGGTTAGAATGTCCTAGGCAGCATTTCTGGGCCCTGGACATTCTGAGTTCATGGTTTGGATGCATGTTGATTCAGAATCATTAAACTAGATTAACTCTCAGCCTTTCAACGTGTCAAATGTTAACCAGACCTACAGACTCGGCCTTTCAGGGCTGTTGATGCTACTTGAGTGTCACTGTCTAAGGCAGTGTTCTCAGTCTTGGCTCACTTGGTGGGTGACCTTTTAAGACCATAGATGCCCAAGCCCCAGCCCCCTGAGATTCTGATTCAATTGGTCCAGGGTGAGACCCAGACATACTATATAGGTTGCATTCCTAGCATTAATACTGTGCTTTAGTTTTTCTAACCTTTTTAGTATTTCCTAAATCTAGTCTTCTTTTCCTTCTGTTTCCCTCCAATCACACCCTCCCATCACACCCTCCCTTGGGCCCCCGTCATCTCACACCAAAGCTTGGGTAGAATCCTCTTAACTTGTGTTTCTCACATTATGAAAAAACTGAAAAGTGAAATGAAAGTCACTCAGTCGTGACAGACTCTTTGCAACCCCATGAACTGTAGCCTACCAGGCTCCTCTGTCCATAGGATTTCTCAGGCAAGAATACTGGAGTTTCCAAGCCCTCCTCCAGGGGATCTTCCCGACCCAGGAATTGAATCTGTGTCTCCTGCATTGGCACTCAGATTCTTTACCACTATTGCCACATGGGAAAGTCATGCAGTACCTTTAGATTCCAGCATCTGTCACTTACTATTTGTGTCACCTGGCGCAGGTAACCTGCCACTGTTCCTCAGTTTCTGCCCGTGGAATTGGTGATGTTAACCATTTCCTCATGGGGTTATGGGAGGCTTACAGGGTAGCTTGTGAGAAGAGTTTTAGCTTAGTGGAGCCACCATGGCCTTCAGGGGTGTGGGTTCCAGGGCGGCCCCTGCTGGCCATGTCTCTGATTTTCATAAACACAGTGAGTAAGGACTTGAGGGTTTCCAGGCTCCTGGCCATGATCAGAGGGACTACCACGCTCAAAACCTTTCTTCTCTTGTGCCCCTCAGCTGCTGTATATTACCTGCACCTCAGAAACCAACTTGGGCTCATCTTTCTTTTTTTTGTAAATTTATTTATTTTTAATTGGAGGATAATTGCTTTACAACATTGTATTGGTTTCTGCCATACATCAACGCCATACATGTTATCGGCCCTCCTGAAATTTGCTTCTACGAAGGTAAAGCCTCAGCTCCATCCCAGCACCTGAGGTGCCCCCAATCTCTAATTCTCCCACTCGCCTGAGAGCCCAGAAGCTCATCCCCCTATCCACACCCTCACCCTTTACCACACTCATCAGTTCACCCGGGGGCCTTACCTGCATGGGCAGAATTCATGGAGGTGAGGCTGGGGCCTGTCTCCAAGGCATCTCTGAGTGGGTCTGGGATCAGAGACAGGGAGGTTAGCACAGGCAATTGAAATTTTCAGGAGCATCAGGGGCCATTGACTGTCTTACTTCTTTTGCATGTGTTTTGAGAAACACTGAAGCAGAGAAATAGTGATGACATTATAAAAAGCTTCCTTGGTCCAAAATGGTGGAGGTGAAGATTAAATAGTTTCTGGGGGCTTCTGGTGTGGTGCTGTGGATAAGAATCTGCCTGCCAGGGCAGGGTACATGGATTCGATCCCTGGTCCAGGAAGACTTCGTGTCCTGCAGAGCAGCTAAGCACCTGCGCCACAGCTACTGAAGCCCATGTGCTCTAGAGCCCGTGCTCTGCAACAAGAGGAGCCACGCAGTGAGAACCCCACACACGGCAACGAAGAGTAGCCCCTGCTTGCTGCAACTGGAGAAAACCCGCACGCAGCAATGAAGACCCAGCACAGCCAAAACTAAACAATTTTTTTAAAAAGGAAATAGTTTCTGAATGCAGAACTTCCTAGAGCCCATACTTATTAGAAACACATGCACTGCATTCTTCCAGTGGAGACAATATACCTTGCCCACATTACTCTGAGAATCATCTGGAGGATTTTCCTTCATGAAACATCATTTGAGAAATTCCCAAATGAAGTGTCTGGTCATAAACCTTACAACTCTTGCACAGTGAGAACACACAGAACCTGCTGCTGCTGCTAAGTCGCTTCAGTCGTGTCCGACTCCGTGTGACCCCGTAGACGGCAGCCCACCAGGCTCCTCTGTCCCTGGGATTCTCCAGGCAAGAATACTGGAATGGGTTGCCATTTCCTTCTCCAACGCATGCGTGCATGCTAAGTCGCCTCAGTTGTGTCCGACTCTGGGCAACCCTATGGACAGCAGCCCACCAGGCTCCTCCATCCACAGGATTCTCCAGGCAAGAATACTGGAGTGGGCTGCCATTTCCTTCTCCAGAAGAGGAAAAACTGAACCCTGTGCTCTGGTATGAAGGTGTCATCCTGTCTTTACTTTGCTGCTCCTCGCCATCTGAGACAGCTCTGCCTCCCACCACTTTGACCATCATCCTCCTGTCTGTCCCTCCAGCTCTAACAGACTAGGCTTCCGAGAAGCGGGAGTGGAAGGCTGTGGGGAGAGGTGGCTCAGACCAGAAGCCTCTCCAGCTCTGTGTGGGGAACAGGAGGCATGCTTCACCTCTTGTGCAGAAACAGACAGAAATTGAGCAAGGATGTGGTCTCAAGGTCACGGTCTGAAGCTCCCTGGCATTCGGAAACCATGGTATCCGGAGTCTGTGCCTTCCAGTGTCTGCTCCCCACTGTCTTGGGGACAGAATATGCAGGGTGACCTCCACATCACCATGTCACAGGAGCAGGGCTGTTGCCAAACTGCTCTGTTGTCACTGTTAGCAGGTCCACATCCACCAGACCAACATCCTGATTCTTAGTTTTGCAACACTAAACACTGTGTGTGGGTTGAAAACTCCAGGATTTGGTTTCTGGTGTGTTACAAACCTCTCCGTTCACGGTCTGTGCATTAGACAGTCATTTGGGTCAAAAGCCTCCCCTTCTTGTTCCTGTGGAGCCGATATCCAAGTGCCTTCCTCCAGCAGGTACTCAGAAGCCCTGAGCTAGGGTCCCTTTTCCAACCCAGACTCAGAGAACCCCTTCCATCACGTGGCTTTTCTCCTCTGCCTCAGTCGGTGGGGAGAAAGAAGATGCCTTTGGAGGATTCAAAAGGCATTCAGGTGGTGGGGCTTCCCTGATGGCCCTGCCTGCCAATATGGGAGACATGGGTTCAATCACTAGGTTGGGAAGATCCCCTATGCCACAGAGCAACTAAGCCCACGTACCACAACTACTGTGGCCAAGTGCTGCAGCTACTGAAGCCCAAGAGCCCTAGAGCCCGTGCTCTGCAACAAGAGAAGCCACTGCAGTGAGAAGCCCATGCACTACAACTACACAGTAGCCCCTGCTCACTGCAGCTAGAGAAAAGCCCATGCAGTAATGAAGGCCCAGTGCAGCCAAAAATAAATAAATTTAAAAAAAAAAATCCAGGTGTTGAATCAGGACTTTAGCACCCCAGCTCTTTGGATGAAGATTTAGCTACCATCTGGTGCACCTGGACACATGAGGCAAAGCTTCATTCTCCATTCAGGGATTCCTCTTGTCTACTTCGTTTTCCAAGGAAGTTCTCAAAACTCACATACCAGGCCAGGTCAACAGGGAAAAGCTGGGTCTGGGCCCAGCACCTCACGAGGTTCCTCTTTAGGAGTTATTCTTTGACACTGGTGTGGATTTTTTAAATAAGAATCTTACCTTCTGAAGAGCACTGAGGTTCATCTGTTTCCCAGTCTTCACAGTCCATTTTCATACCTGGGTTCTCCTCCAAAACGGACATTTTCAGTGTGAGGAAATGACTCAACAGGAGGCTGGGATGAAGGGCAGGACCTGAGTGGACAGGAAGAAAATTGCTAATGGCATCTTTTGACCCCTGAAGACCTTGCTGAATGCCCCTAAGTGTCCATCAGGCTGCAGGCCTTGCTCTCTGCCTGAAAACATTTGCTGCATCCTGGAAGCCCTCCCAGGGCTGGGCCATCCTTTTATGATGTTTGCCCCTCCAAAGCGATATTTTTGAAACATATCATTTTTATGATCTTGACAACATTTTAGCAAAATGAAACAGAAAATTCAAAGTATATTGTTCTACAGTATGGAGATTCCTTTCAAAACTAAAAATAGAGCTATCACATGATCCCAAATCCCACTACTGGGTGTATATCCAGATAAAAACATGATCCAAAAGGATACATGCACCCCAACGTTCACTGAAGGAGTATACAATAGTGAAGACATGGAAGCAACCTAAATATCCATCAACAGAGGAATGGATAAACAAGATATGGTGCGTATATACAATGAAATATTGTCCAGCCACTAAAAAGAAGGAAATAATGCCATTTGCAGTAACATGGATGGATCTAGAGATTGTCATACTGAGTGAAGTTAAGTCAGACAGAGAAGGAGCAGTATCATATGACATCCCTTATATATGGAATCTAAAGAGAAATGATACAAATGAAGCTATTTACAAAGCAGAAAGAGACTCACAGACTCACAAGAGAATGAACTTGCTGTTGCGGAGGGGGAAGAATGGAGAGAAGGGATAGTTAGGGAGTTTGGGATAGACAGGTACACCCTGCTATGTTTCAAATGGATAACCAACAAGGACATATGATACAGCACAGAGAATTCTGCTTGTGGGGCAACCTGGACGGGAGGGGAATTTGGGGGATAATGGATGCACGTGTGTGTATGGCTGAGTTCCTTCACTGTTCACTTGAAACTATGACATCATTGTTTGTTAATAAGCTATACCCCAATACAAAATAAAAAGTTGGAAGTATATTTTTCTAATCCCTGGACTGGAGAAAGACAGCCCGCAGGCCAAATCTGTCCTACCACCTGGTTTTAAATAAAGTTTTATTGGAACACAATCATGCCTGTGTTTACGTGTTGTCTATGGCTGTTCTCTGGCTGCAACAGCAGAGATGAGTCATTGAAAGAGAGTAAAAGAAAGACTCTACTGCTTACTGTCCCAATCTTCATAAAAAAACTTTGCCAACCCCCTGCTAGAGTCTAGTCAGCAAAGAAAGGCCATTTCTTTGCAACCTCTTGTCATGGAAAACAGAGCCTCCAAAGATCCCAAGGAGCTCAACTCCTGATATCTTGGGGCAGGGCTGACTCAGAATCCCCTCACAGAACAGGCTCGGAGGAGAGAAGCTTCCAAATACCTTCCAGTGGTACATATCACCTCTCACCCGATTCACAAAGCCCGTTCCCCAACATGAGTTCAGGGCAACACAGTGAGGGAAGCAGGGCAAGAACTGTTTATTCCCAATTTACAGATGAAAAACCTGAAGGTAGGTGACATCTCAAGGCTGACACCACTTTTAAGGTTGCAGAGATGGAAGTTTTGTATGAAAACCCAATCCTTGGAGAAGGGCTTAGGAAAAAGACAAAGAGAACCTAGATGGTTTTATAATAAGTAAAAAGAGTAGGGAGAACTCCAGGGCTTGTCAGTAGGACAGTAAGCAAAGGAGAGGATGACCACCGGGCAGTTCTGGGGGAGAACTGATGGCTCTTTAAGGGCACAGATATCTACTCTTTGATCCTCAGTAGTTCATTGTTTGCACCCCCTGAATCCACAAAGCACACCTGCTTTTGCAGTTTGAGGGAAAAATCAAGGGACACAGAGGATTGATGGCACTTGAGAAGGCAGGGACATTGGCATTCATGGGATGGCATCAGAACAAAAGATAAAAGTGTAGGTATCCAAATACGTGAAGATGCTGCTGGTGACCAGGAGGATGCCCACAGGCTGGAGGACCTAGGGATGTCCCTGTGAGCTGTTTATGGAATTTGCCACCTATATCAAGGTAAATGCAGGTGGCTTCCACAGAGCTTCCTAAAGAGGCAGTGCATTCAGCCATTGACAATCATCTCTCCAGCTCAGATCACTCAAAATATTGGGTTCCAAACAATCTTTCTGAAGACCAGCACTTTCCAGACTCTGGAATGAGTCTTCTCAGCCTTCAGAGAAGAGGCTGGCATTATCATAGTTTGCAGGTTTCCTAAGCTCAGGGATTGCCTGGCCCTCGAGCAATGCCTGCTTATTGGTGGTGGCCCTCCTAAAAGGCTTCCAGCTGCATTGGCGGCTGAGAGCAAGATGGTCTGGGCAGGTCTCAGAGAGAACATTTAGAAATTCAGGAAATCCACAGAAGGCAGGCTTCTGTTAGGGAAATAGCAAGGCAGGCACCAGTTGCTACTGGGCTCCTCCATCTATATCAGGTGGCAACCCACTCCAGTATTCTTGCCTGGGAAATCCCATGGACAAAGGAGCCCAGCAGGCTACAATCCATGAGGTCGCAAAGACTTGGGCATGACTGAGCGAATAAACAACAACAAAGGACCACTTACCTGGGTCAGGGATCCGAAGTCTGTGGCTATGTCTTGGGCTCCTGGAGCACTGTTGTCTTATACTCTGGAGGGACCAGGCGTGATCCTCACTTTGAGTAATCATGCAGCATCTCTCCAGCCAGTCATTGATGGCATCTGAGGTTATTAGTTCGTCACTCATTGCCTGCCATCTTTCATACCAAAGGTATAAAGGAATTCCTGTGGGTAGTATCACATTGCCAAGGATCATGTTACATCCATTCAACACATTTCACAGTGCTTGAGATAGACTGTGTGGGTGCCCATCTAGTCTGACAACAGTGGTTTAGGAAAGAGATGTAAATGGAAGGAAAGAGGAGACACAGGTTGGGCAGACAGTCTGGGAGGTGCAGGAAAGTCCCCATTCTCATGGTGTTCAGGTAAGTGTTGTTGTTGTTCAGTAGCTCAATTGTGTCTGACTCTTTGTGACCCTATGGACTATAGCACACCAGGCTTCCCTGTCCACCATCTCCCAGAGCTTGCTCAAACTCATGTCCATTGAGTCAGTAATGCCACCCACATCTCATCCTCTGTCATCCCCTTCTCCTCCTGCCTTCAATCTTTCCCAGCATCAGGGTCTTTTCTAATAAGTCAGCTCTTCGCATCAGGTGGCCAAAGTATTGCATCAGTCCTTCCAATTAATATTCAGGATTGATTGCTGGGGCACCCACATTTCAGAGAAAAATGTTTTTCTTTCATCTGTCCTTCCAATGCACTCCAGGCTGCCACTGACACCTCCCTCCACCTCTTCTCTGTCCTCTTTTCTTCAGTGATGACATGGAAAGCATTCTCAAGGGAACTTCCTTTTTTTAAAAACAAAAACTGTGTTTTATTGGAGTGTTTTTAGTAATTTATGAAAACACAGGTACTTTCTAAAATAGAAACCTATTATAAAAATCTATTATTGAGTTAACACTGGAAGTAAACTGTATGCTGATCCATTTCCTTCCTTCACAATAGTCTATGAATATTCTTTTCTTTTGGAGACTATAATAAACTTGTAGTAATATATTTATCTCTTTCATTTCATATTTTAGTATTTTTGGTTTACTCTTAATGATGAGTATAGATTTAGAGGTTAACATTTACCTAAGATATATATTTTTCAATCTAGAAGTAAATATTAAATAAAGGTACTCAGTTCAGATGCTTGATTTTTTTAATTAGGTTTAATATTTTTAATAATTTTCAATACCATTGTATACAGGGGGAAAGACTTATTAATTGAAGTCAGATAATTTCCCCACACATTACTATTGAACCCTGCCTGTTTACTTCATCCATCTCTTAGATTTCATAAAATCTGTAAAAAAGCCGTAACTTTTAGCAGACTTACCTCCTCCTGTTCCCTGGTAGATCTTTTCAGGAGTAATGTTATCATTGTTTTTAGCCATTAAGTTGTGTCCGACTCTTTGCAAGCACATTTCAGAAACGTGAGGTCCCTTACCCAAGGCCACACACTGGACTCCCATTGCCCCCATGAAGCACTGACCACACCCTCTCCCCGACAGGGTCCCAGAGGCTCAGAGCTGTCTCAGACTCTGACTGCCTTCTTGTCACTGAAGAGACCTTGTGAGAGGGGGTGACGGACGTGGGGACAGGTGACACAGACTGACACAGAGGTGCAGTGAGGGGTGGCTGAGTATATAGGTCATCAGAATAAACTTTGAGAACATGGGGGAAACTCCTAGCTTTTCATTTTTGGAAAGAAAATGAAAATTTAAGGTAACATCATCATATATAGGTGACGCTAGTGGTGTAGAACCTGCCTGCCAATGTGGGATACATAAGAGACATGGGATTGATCCCTGGTTCGGGAAGATCCCCTGGAGGAGGGCATGGCAACCCACTCCAGTATTCTTGCCGGGGAAATCCCATGGACAGAGGAGCCTGACAGGCTACAGTCCATGGAGTTGCAAAGGGTCGGACACGACTGAGCGACTAACACTTTCACTTTCTTTTTTTCTTCAGGTGCTAAACTGGATACTGAAGGTACACTAGGAATTGGTCCATGGTTGCCCTTGCTCCCAGGATGCTCACAGCATAGGAAGTGCCAGGCAAGGGAAACAGGAGAGAAGGGCATTTTCAGCAGAGAAAGTGGCAAAGGCAAGGCCCAGGGCAGAGGAGAAGCTGTTCTGCTCTGGGCATGGCCAGCCCTTCTGTGTGGCTGGACCTTGGAATCAGGTTGGCTGGAGATGAGGTCAAAGAATTTGCACAGAACAAGCTGGTCACAGGTGCCACACAATGCCCTTGGGTTTGGGGTCCTTAGGCAAGAGGGAATTCCTTCAAGTTTTCCTTTTATAATGCTCTCTTTCACGCAGTGTGAAAGCTGAATCTGGGCAGAGAAGGGCTGAACTGGGAGATAAGACAGAAGGCAGAAGCCAAGGATGACATGGGATGGAT